GTGAATATATTTTTATTTTAGCTTTTTTATACAAGCGCGGCTTTATGGAATTCTGCAAATATTTCTGTACGTACGGGAAATTTTGTAGATAACTGCAATACCTACCTGTAGATGCATAAATATTGTATGTTAATGAAAATTAATATCCAGTATTCTACCTAGTTTACGATCTTCGGAGTACCTACACAGTTTCCCAGTTTTACTCATTTATCCACAAATTGGGTAGTTTACATACGATCGTTTGTTACTATTTAAACGGAATTCCTCATTAAATACTCGTCGAAATGCACTGAATATTATGGAAGAAGGTATTCCAACAATATTGATTCTAATTTGGCATATATTCGATAATGATGGCTTAATATTCTATTAACTAATTGGGGTGAAGTGTCACTAGAAATAGTGCGGATTCACAATAGATATCGTTATACTCTACCACATACATTTACACATTTTAATTAAGTATAGCTATGTGAGATTGTAACTCAATATTACCTAACTTAGGTAATATATGAAATTTTTTATCTTATAACAACTATTAAAAGAATTGTTGGTTAAATCGTATAGATCACATTAAAATAAAAATGTAAAATAAATTATAAAAATAATAAAGAACCTAATCAATGTTCAAATTAGGTGTATATAGATATTTACTAAATACATACATATGTAATATACGATTTCTAATTTTAATTACTTAGATTTTTTTATTATATATTTTCATAAATTAGTTATAAAAGCATTTATTTTGAAATTCCCATATTAGTAAATTCTCACAAGAAGTTCAAATATCAACGATATCATAAATAATAAGGAATATTTCGTCTTTTAATGCCGCCCGTCACTGGTTAACCAGCAAAACTAATACATAGTTAATTGAAATCTAAAATATTGGTTTATACACCGCGATTTTGTAACTGCTCCAATTTCTACTGCAGCTCTACACAGTCTACAAAGTTTTTTTTATATTGAACATTTCTGGCGTAAGTAACGACAGCCAGAAAGATTTGAATCGGGGTCAAGAAATTATATTTGAGATATTTCCAATTAATCTTCAAAAGTTAATTAGATTACCGATAGGTGTATTGACACGAAGCATTATTATCGGAAATCTATTCGAGGAAAGTCGAATACAATTGTCCATATTGGCAAAAGAAAGGAAACTGCAACGTGAAAGTGCCACGTGCTCTTTTATGTAATTGATAGGTATAGAAAACGATTTTGATTTGAATTATATTCTGCATTTAGATAAATTATAGCATCATTGAAATCTCGCAGAAATGGTATATAAAATAGAAATTGAGTAATGCTATGTATGCATTTGGAAGCAAATATTTTAGATTTATGTTTTACCAACAAGTATGATTAAAATTTATTATCATCTTAAAAATCCGGATAATAATATAAATTTTACTCACCTGTGACTTTAGTAACAGCTATTGGTAATTTTTCAAAAATGTAAGCAACAGAAAGACTTTAAGTTACTACAATCCATGGAAATTTCCATATAAATTGATTCTGTTTAATTGAATTGAACTGCTTTTTCTTTTTCTGTACAAATATATGTTCTTTAATGCACGTTAGATTTCTTGGTTATCGTATGCATTATAATTTGTTTTCGTTACAAATATTCCGCGTTTGTTTTTGTGCGCTTTACATATATTTTTTTTAATCTATCTAAGTACTTTCTCTCAACTGTAATACTACTGACACGTTTTCACATCATACAATTATTGTTAGTAACACACCGAAGAACTTTTGGCACTGATTTAAATCGACTAAACACAAAGCACTTGCTAGTTATTAAGTTCTCACTGGTTAAAGTTAAGTTTTTCTCGGTGAACAGGGTAACCATATGAATATAAATTGTACTAAAATGAACTCTTCGTTGTTAACAGTCCGACTAAGCCACCCACCACGTTGGAAACCCAGAGACCTACATTTTGTTCCATACCGTGGCCCCACTAGCCTTCCCCACTTTAAGAATAAACAACTCAGGTGCTACGACACACTGAAGAGTTCCTGCTATTTCAACCTTTCGGTCTTCTAGTGTAGCAGTAGAGAGATCGCGATGATAGGTTAGAACAGGTGAAATTTTAATGCCGAAGAATCGGGTCATTCCAATAAAATCGATCTTAATGTTTTTTTATTAAGGCAAATAAATGAATATAATTCGTTATTGGTTAATTAGAAATAGAAAGCATAACATATTATTTCATGCGAATGACGTAAAAATGAAAATGAGGCATTTTCTTAGTACCCATAAGCAGAATCCCTTTTTTATTTTAATTGTTCAACTACTTTTCCTCATCGTTTTTTTAATTATTATTTTATTTGTTAATATACGTTCATTGTTACTTGCACCAAGTTAACATTTTTTTATCTTTGGTTTAAGTATTGAATTATAATTTATTTGAGTATACATATGTAAATAGCTGGAAGATTATTACTTTTCATGTTTTCAATAAATCTTGAAATATAAAGTTTTTTGGAGTGTATAAAAAATATATAACTTTTAAAAAAGTATAGTACTAACAATAAAAATTCTTATCCATATTTTGTTTAACCGTTTCAATTTTACTCCATCTTAATATGTAATCGATTTTATTAAAAAAATATATAAAAGCAATGTTTAGCTGTACCATGTAAAACTCTTTTATAATAAAACAGACCATTTAGATGCATAGTAATCCTTTATTCAATAACTTTACTTGTTAGTAAAACAATAAAACTAATTTCCGAACCGGTCTATTATTGTGCAGAAAATATCGAATATTTTATTCTTTTAAGTACATTTGCGGCTTTTTTCATTGCTACGTTCTTTCATGAAGGCGAGAGTTGCATTGAATTATTCAATAAGTTTGTGCGGTTTTTTGTTTATGCTTCAAATGTCGCTGATTACGCGTTATCTGCCGTTATAGTTGTATATCATTTTTTAACCTTGCTTACCACTTCAAGAAATGCTATAAAATTTTAGCGTTCATTTTTTAAGTGGGACTGGGTTTGGCGAGATAAGGACTGATTTCTGTTCTGAACCCGATGATTTTTCTTGTTCCATTCAGATCTATACAGCCTGTTGTAACATTTAATGACATTGCGGTTTAATAAAGTACTTAGTCATATCCGATATTTCTTCATGTTCGCACCAGAACACCTACTTCCTATGGTAGATGCGTGTTATATTGGATCAATTCCAATATGCAGAGGTGTACTCAAAAAGCGACCCTTAAATATTCCCTATCACACTTCTAGTATTGAAGTTGTTTTCTTTCATTATAATAGATGAATTTAAAGGAAATAAGTATAAAGGAAATAAAGGAAATAAGTATAAAGGAAATAAAGGAAATAAGTAACAGCTAGCAAAAGGAAACCCTATTTTATTTCTCCTTCCAGGACGAAAACCAGTATACATCAGCTGTTGCAAGAAAATGTGACCATAGCACTTCTGGTTCATTTAAGAGCCCTTCTGGTCCCTGTTAATAATGTTATATAAAAAACCAAAACTACAACAAAAGCGAAATAAATCCTCCAAAAATTTGATAAAAAACGATAAAATACCTAACAACCTAATCAAAAATATTGCCGATAATATTGCCATTAACTTACTACTTTTATCATGAAAGTGTTCAGGATTAAAATAAATTAGGAGAGCAAAATCATTGCAAAATTATCGTTTACTGTTAAGAGTACAGGTACTTACCTCTATCAGTACAAATTTATCAACTAACACCTTAATTTTAGCGATCAAAAATGTTCAATAAAAAAAATTAATCTCTTCCAACGGGTATGGATTTTCGATAAAACTCATAGAAGAAAATTACAGAACGTTTTCCAATTAAAATATCTAATTTACTATGACCTTAGGAACGATCTACTAGTTATTGCAATGGAGAGATCGCGATGATAAGTCAAAACCGGTGAAACTTTATTTTGTAGAATTCTATATATCTTCTAGAAATGCTCGCTAGTTTCAACTTAATTAGTGATAGAATTAAAACATTTTTTATCTTAACTTTAAATGACTACTAGAAATTATTTTTGTTATTAATATGTCTAGGAGTTGATGTATCCTACTATTTGCAGGTCACGTCGATTTTCGAATTAAAAATGACATATAAGTTCATACAGGGTGTCTCATAAGTTGATACTTTTTTAACTGCGTATGGATCTCTTAATTGTAAGCAATTTTTTTGTATTTTTTTTAATATTCCGGAAAATAAAAAAGATGATTTTTTTTTTCATTGTTACCATACAGGTGTCAAAAATAATAAATAATTAATGACAAAAAATTATTTTTTCGATTGTTGAATTGAAAAAGGCTCATCTTTATAGAAATAATAAATTGGTTGACATGCTGATTATTTATGGAGACTGTTTCCAAAGCGTTTCCAATCAAAATGGTGACACTTTTGAGCAGTTCCTTTAACTGTTAATGAACAAGGCCGTATTAACTAACTTTTTAATAATTAAAAATTGAAAAAACATGCTCTCTTATTTTCCAGAATATTAAAAATTTTACTCGAAAAAGTTGCTTAAAATTAAAAGATCTATATACGCAGTTACAAAAAAGTATCAATTTATGAGACACCCTGTTGACCCTGTATATTAATTATTATTCCGTTAGATATCACAAATAATGATATGCATTTTAAAAAGTCGCAATTAATTAAGTGCGTTTGTTGAGGATGTAGGCGTATGAATTAGGAATAAGGGAGAATTTTCTGGATTCATGTCTATGTCAATAAATTGGTTATAGATTATCCCATTATATTAGAATAGTTATAACTAACTTTATCTAAACATTTCTAAATATCCTTATTATTCTATAATGTCACTGAGCATAAATTATAATAATTTTCTGTAATGAAAAATGTGATGTATATTAGAAGAGACAGTGCCTAAAAGCTAAATAGGTAAAAGGTGTTGCTTCGAATATCGAAGATTAAAAAAAAGAAGAAGAATATTGACTTAATTTTAATTGGCATTTGACATATTCTGTCGTTCGTGTTAAATTTATTTATGATGACTTTGCTTTTGCTTAAATCAGCTGAAATTTAAAAACAAACGTTTAAACTTATTAGATATATCTCATTATTCCTCTTTAAATGGTAGAATAACTTATTTGTGAACTCTCCAAATGGGTTTTTAAAGTATTTGAGCAAATAGGATATGTTAATCGGTGGTCATGTCAAATTTATATTCCAAAATAGGACCTAAGCCACCAAAACGTATACAGGAAAATATTAATTTATCCCAAACTTGGATGAATGGTAAGTCATGTTTATTAGACTGTTGAATATGCATAATATTTATGAGTTCTTACGACATAAAACACTCGGATTGCCTTCTGACCTTCTCCTATTGAAAACTTACATTTTTTGGTCTAACTTACGCATTTTAGTAATATATTCAATTCAATAAGAATATCACCTAAAATGTGCACGAATTTTATTTTAACTGCATACATGCGTAAGTATTTCATACAGACTATTGTTAATTGCATTACGTAAAATATACTTTCGAATCATTTGTAAAACTTAAACTAACCATTTGTATTTACAGCTGAAGTTTTAAATAATGGGTCACTTAACTTGTCTCCTCCACACACCGTTTGCCAGAAGGAGACTTTGCCAATATTACAGCCAGTTAGTGCGCCCGAATCACCTTCTTCGAGTTCATGCAGTTCCCCGACAGTTTCTACATCTCTCTTGGACTCAAATTGGCAAGCAACTAAACACAACGTACGTCAGAGAAATGCAGCAATGTTTAACAATGAATTAATGTCAGACATAAAGTAAGTTGGGTGTACCTCGTCACAGAGTTCATATTATATTCTTCTGGTTTGTTTAATATTAGGTTCATTGTGGGACCACCAGGATCGACCCACGTTATTCCAGCTCATAAATACGTTCTTTCTACTGGTAGTTCAGTATTTTATGCCATGTTTTACGGAGGTCTTGCCGAGGTTAAAGAAGAAATAGAAGTGCCTGACGTAGAGCCTTCAGCTTTCCTTGCATTACTAAAGTACAAAAATAGATAAATATTGTTCTATTGGATATTAACGCTAAATGTTGCAGGTACCTGTACTGTGATGAAGCTCAACTTGAAGCCGATACGGTTTTAGCTACACTGTATGTAGCTAAAAAGTATATAGTACCACATTTAGCTCGTGCTTGTGTTACATATTTGGAGACTAGTCTCACAGCTAAAAATGCTTGCCTATTGCTGAGCCAGTCTCGGCTGTTTGAGGAATTTGAATTGATGCAAAGGTGTTGGGAAGTGATTGATGCACAAGTAATAATATATTCTCATTGTGAATTAACTAATGTACTAATTAAATGTGTTGTTAATTGTAGGCAGAAATGGCTGTAAAATCAGAGGGTTTCACTGATATTGATATGGCCACATTAGAATCAATATTAGCGCGAGAAACGCTGAATTGCAAAGAAATGGTTCTTTTAGAAGCTGCTCTCAATTGGGCAACAGCGGAATGCCTCCGGAGGGAGTTAGAAGTAACACCGCAGAACAAACGAGAAATTCTGGGAAATGCCCTTTATTTAATCAGAATACCTACAATGTCCTTGGAAGAATTCGCAAACGGGGCCGCTCAAATTGGCATTTTGACTCAACAAGAAATTATCGATATATTTTTTCATTTTACCGCCAATAACAAACCGTGTTTGCAGTATCCCATCAAACCCAGGTCCGGATTGAAATCTCATGTAAGTTTTTACAACGGGACATATCATTTCTGCATTTAGATCAATGAGATTCATGTAGATGATTTTTTTCAGGTTTGTCATCGGTTTCAATCGAGCGCGTACAGAGGAAACCAATGGCGTTACAGAGGGAGATGCGACAGCATTCAATTTTCCGTGGATCATCGAATATTTGTAGTGGGTTTTGGTTTGTACGGATCTTCCAACGGCGGTGCTGATTATACCGTCAAAATAGAATTAAAGAGATTAGGACGGGTTTTGGCTGAAAATAATACGAAGTTCTTTTCCGATGGATCTAGTAAAACTTTCCACGTGTATTTCGATAATCCTATACAGATAGAGCCCGACGCATTTTATACAGGTACAGGGTGTTAATTAAATGAGTGCCGGCACTTCAAGATGTAAATATTTGGTTGATTTTAAGAAGAAAAGTTTATAACAATATGTGTCATAAACCTCTTAGTTTTCAAGCTTCAGGGTGTTATAATTTTAGAAAAAAAACTTTTCTATCATAATTTTCATTACTCCAGATATTTTTAGGAAATTTTGTACACACTTTTTAATCATTAAGGAGTATTTTTTGAGGCAAAAGATTTTTTTAAATTTTTACCATGACGTCCGTACGGGGTTTGAACTGAATATGTTTGAAGAAAAAATGGTACGCCACTGCTTTTTCTAAAAACCAAAATTATTTTTAAAATTCTCATTTATTTTGGAGAAAACTTACTTTCGTACAACGCACCATTTTCGCGTAAAAAAATAAAAACCAAAACAATTTTTTCCCCAAGTTCATTGAGGCTGCTTTTGATATTTTGTTGAAATTTGGTACGTGCCCACTATGCATAAAAACACTTTTTTAGGGACAAAAATTATTTTTTTACTATTAACAGTGTCGTCCACGTCGCGGAATTTCATAAAAATATTTGGAGTAATTATGACAGAAAAGTTTTTTTCTAAAATAATACCCTGTAGTTCGATAACTAAGAGGTTTAGGACATATATTGATATAAACTTTTCATCTTAAAATCATCTAAATATTCACATCCTGAAGTATCGGTACTCAATTAACACCCTGCATGACAATATGTTATTAATGCACTAACAAAAATATTCTCCTGTTGTACTAAATGTGTGATTATTTTTTTTAGCTTCTGTTATTCTCGATGGCGACAAATTGAGTTATTTTGGCCAAGAAGGACTTAGTGAAACGACGGTGGGTCAAGTAACGTTTCAGTTCCAGTGCAGCTCGGAGAGTACGAATGGAACAGGTGTACAAGGTGGACAAATACCGGAACTAATTTTTTACGGTCCTTCTGTAAATCTGTAGAATATACTTATTCTATTATAAATAGACTAGGTCAGGAATATGATATGCTAAAGAGCATTTTATAAATTACATTATATTAAGAGTTTTAAGGTTCTACAGAGTGACTACTTTTATCTGTAATGTATTTTAAAATTACTACAAGAGAATCGTTTCATGAAATTTCTATGTTACCTATTTAATATTGAATGATATGTATGAAAGTTCAAGCGAATACGTGCATAATGAATTCAAAGCACAAAGAGATTGTTTATCTACTCGTAACTCTTGGCAAAATCTAATCATACAAGCGATTTGAATCAAATTTTCGTGAGATGCATCATTATGCATAATGAAGGCTTATCGATCATGAAGTTTAAAGATGAACTCTCAATGAGCGAAAGAAATTGTTTGGCTGGAAATTGTTAATTGGGTAATATCCAGGAGAGAGCAGGTAAATAAAGCCTTTCCAAATCCGCATTATTGACTGTCCTGCACTTTCCATTAATCCATCCATAACAAAAAATTGATAGTATAGCGGAATAATTGGTTATTTTTATTAGATTTGAAATCTGAATATTTTTTTGGTATTAATTTATTAAAGAACGATAAAATTGTAACATTTTAAAAGACATAGATTGGCATACACATATTAGGTACATACTTGTTTAATTTGATAGTCGAGTGTAACAATGATGATTTTTTATAGATGTGTTGAATTATTTATATTTAATAAAACACATTTAAAAACAATGGGTTCCTTTAATTTAGACGCACGAATAAAATAATACTTAATTCATTCCAGTTTCCATTGTAGATATTATAAGTGGTTTAAAATCTTATACCTACTTATTGCCACGTTTGAGTTTATTGTTCCCATTATAAAAGTTATTTCTAGAGTGGAAAGTTTCAAGTACGCTAGAAAATTCCTCGGTAGACCCGAAAAGAATATAACAATGCGCAAATCAACAACCTGCGAACATTAAACAACTTATTAGGATCACTAAAAGGAAGTAGTTCTCGGTCTACTGTTTGTTAATTCCATAAATCAATAACAATATTAGTTTGTTAGCAGGTTTTAAAAGCGGATAATTGGAAATTACGTTAAGGAACTGGATTAAAAAAGTATGTCATAAAGCGTAAATAAATTGGTTATTAAGTAAAAGTATTTGATTTATTTTATTGTTTTATAATACGATACATGCACTACATAATACATTAATTAAATTAATTTCGTCACAGTACAGGTGCAAAGAAGTGGGGGGACTAAAAATGCACTGAAAATCGTAGTTACGCCACTGATAGCAGCCAATTATCTCCTTCTTTATTACTCTGAGGAATATTTAGCAGAATTATCCACTACAGGTTCCTATCGATTTGTTCTCGATCGCAAAATGAGTAACAGTTACAAGTACCAACAAAATACATCATTAATAATGGTTAGATGTACTCGTATAATAGCAATATACCATATTAGTGTTGTGTTAATTTCTTGGCTCATGGTAACATCAGCTCAAGAATATACATTTGTAAATCCTGTACGTTTCCCATATTCGCCTACAGGAAGTCCTTATGTTGGTGTAAGTAATTTTTATTTTATTGCAAATGTGATATTTATTTCATAGAGTTTAATTTACCCTACACTTAAAACTGAATGGGTGATTGGATAAAAGATGGAATTCCAAAAATATGGCGAATTAAAGTGAGATAGCCAATTCGTTCTAATTTCTCTAAAATTTCGTAAAAATTTCTCTAAAAAAATAAATAAATAAAATTACCGACCTCCTTTACATCATATTTTTTGTGAGTGAAACCAGGATAATATTCCTGGAATTTTAACCAGATACTTCATCAATTCATTTTTGTCTCCTAGGTCATAGTTTTAAGCATTGTGAAATTTTTATTCAATACATCAATAAGACTGGAGTTGTTGAAAAAAAGACAGCTTTCACGTTTTACTATTTTTAAAATTTGACTGAAAAAAAGGATAACATTTTGGTACTTTCAAATATCAATAGCTTAATTACAAAAGAGGTATAAACCGTTTAAACGTTGCCATCAAACGTACTTTTTCAAAGTGTATAATTGACCAATAACCAATAGTAATAATTTACTGTTAAATTACCTTTTTCGCCTCAAAAATGTTTTTTTTGGAATTCCCAAAAATAAGGTTCACTCGATTTTTATCCTTTTTCATAAGTTTATTCAATGATTCTTTTCTAGACTTTTGTAGCAGTAGCTATGCCTATTGACATTACGGGTCCAGCGGATTTATTCTTTTCGTTTAACATCGAAGCATCGTACGGGCTACCGGAAAATCAAACGGAATTTCAATATCCTCCGCTTATTACATCTACGCGTCGTTTTCTGTATAATCTACTGGAATCAAAAATTAACGAGTAAGATTCTCTTCGGTTAACTATTAAATAATTGATTACATCCTGTATAATAGCAATTTTAATTCGGTCAGTGTTTTTTAACTTTATAAATTTTAGATACGGCTATCAAGGCAAGGATTGCTTGCAAAGAGCTATTTGCGAGGCAGCAGAATATACTACACTAAATTCTGGTGTTCTAGGAGATATTGTTCATATAATATTAACGTAAGTGCTCCTTCGAATTATTATACATTGTCGTGTGATTGTTTACATATTTTTTAGTCCTTCGGCATCTCTGAAAGAAAAAAATATAGATGACTATATTGAATCTGAAGAGTTTGGCAAGAAAAATGGACATTGCAAAAAGTATAAGAAGAATTGTCCTTTAAGCATTTTGAATTTAGTCAGCAAAGTTAAAAATTATATATAAATTTTAGTAAACCTTCATTTTTGAATTACTACTTCCTTTATTAACATATTATTTGATATGATTGAAACAACAAGATGGTTCAGGAATAATTATTTATTTTTAAGTACGAAATCTTTATTCACTTCTTTGTTATATGTATTTTATCAGAACATAACAATAATAATACTTATTACAGTTATTACATGCACTTATGATTCACTACTAGAGTCAACAAATCTAACAATGCATCTTGCATTTTTGATTTCGGTAATTTCTTTTGGATTTTGTATATTTCTTGTTCATAAAATTCGTCGCTCAACTTTTTATATACGTCTAGTAATTGCAAATCCTCAAAAATTGAATATATTTTTTCGGTAGACTCTTCATTATTTTTACCAAAATTTTCCTCTAAAATTTTCTTCTGCACAGCACTGCCTTTTTTGTAAGCTTCCATTGTCAACCAAGAGGGCCTTCCCAAAGAAATATCGGTACATGATGTCTTTCGAATATTACCTTCAGAATCATAAAGGTCAACAACATCATCCTACAAAACGCACTGCATTAGTATTAATTATGTTATTGAAACCAGGTTAATCAAGTTGTATCCAATTTAAGTGGTATTCTTTTTACCGAAATTAACTCATATACTCAGTTAATCTTAGTTACTTAGTTTTAAGCTATTCTTTTTATTTGTATCAACTGTAACTGAAGTGAGATTTTGTTAGGAAACTCAGTTAACCTGATCAAATGTAAACGGGTCAGTTCTATTTAAACAACAAAAACTCTCTTAAATTATTTGAGTCTAACTAAGATACTCAACTCAAAAGGTCTTAATTTCTTGGTAAAAAGAATGCCTTTAATTTCGTAGTAATAGATAAATTTATCTCACTTCTATCCTTATAAAGCGTGAAAGGTCGTTACAAATTTCTTCACAAACTTCATGCAAATATCCATCGGTAACATTGGCCAAAAACATCGCAGTAGAAATTACATTGTAGCTATAAAATTTGATATCAAGTTGATGTTTGTCCCCCTCATTTATTTTGATTTTTTTTAATTCTGGAATGTTACTTAAATTCATTATGGCGTGGGCTCTTAAAAAATGTTTCTGCATGATATACTGATGAGGAAGGCATCGTAAGTGATTTTGAAGCAGAAAAATAGCACCATTGAGCAGAAACGCTGCATCAACTATAGCAGCATCTTTTCCGACATCGGGTAATTGATACCAAGTTGTTTTATTATATCGAATGTTCGATCTATCAATGATATCATCATTTATGTTTATCGCCGAATGTATCTAAAAATTTTCAATATGAAACAAATTCAATCAGTTAAAATATGTGTATAAGGCACTTACCAATTTGTGACACCATGCCAAAATGTACGCTTTTTTTAAGTTCTCGTGGTTTAGCAAGGATGGTTTCTCCAATAATTTGTAAGTATGAAGAAATATAAGAGAAGCAGATAAGAATGGTGTTTCCACATTAGTGTTGTAATCGAGAAGTTTCTCGCATCGATCTCTCAGTTCAGAATTACCCTTTAGAACTAAATGTTCTTCTATGATTTCTTCGCGGATGGCAGGATATACCGACCGTAGGGGTCCTTCTTCGACTGATATGTCGACTAATGGTCTATTCAAATCAATTGGAATTGGTGTGTGCAAATAATATTGATAGAAATTCATGTTTCAAATACGGATGAATATTAGCGTGTGATCGGTGCATTATGGCCACGTGTTTGCCAATTCTCGCAACGCTATTGGATGAGCTGAGGCGAAGGTGGTTCCAATTCACTGATCACACACTAATAATCTTTGTTTACATCGTCCGTATTTGAAATGTGAATAGAGTATACATACCGATTATTTTTTTTCTGCAACAAAGAACACAAACTTCGGAAATGAAGTGGTACCTTTGAGACAATACTATAGTTCAAATTGTAATTCTTCAACACGTATAACATTGTTCATTGAGTGTAGACTTTAGATTCACAGAAGGTGAAGTTGTTGGATATTACCAACCAAATGTACCTTGTAACAAATTTAAACGGAAACGGAAAAAATAATATAATGGATCATATGAATTAATTCTCATTATATAAAGTAAGTTGCCGAATGACTTGGTCCATCGCGTCCTCAATTGCGAACAACAACCGTGTTGTCAAATCAATGTTTCTTTTTCTTCGTAAAAAAAATAAAAGTAAAATAAAACTTTAGTAATTTTTAGCAGATTTATTTTCTTAAATAATTCATTTAAAATTAGCGTTACATTTTGAATCAATTTATGGAGCATTATTTGTATTTTATGTACCTTATAATAATTAATAATTAAAACAGCCCACGTTTACTCTTATTACTCTTATAACATTAAAAAAAATTGAGTCTGGCAACAATGTTGGACTTTTGCACTGCCCAGTACGTCTGTACCTCATGTTTTTTGCCGAGCTGAACTTAAAAACACTAACTTTCTTTTCTTACTTACGCGCAATGAACAAAGATACCCTCAGTGTTATTAAAACTACTTTTTTTGATGTAGTTTACTACAATTTATTACTATTACCTTAAAAAAATTAACTACATATTTATACATACCGGGTGTTCCAAAAAGGTTGTGCTAAACTTAAGGGGGTTATACAGGGTGGCCCAGAACTCACGCCCCACCGGAAAAGGCCTTATGGAAACGACAATGGAGATGACAAAACTGCAGTCGAAAACATGAAAAAGTTATTCCTTTGGTAAATAAAGAGGTTTAAAATTGACCAATGCCAGTTGCAGTTCACATATGCGAAAATGACGTGAATTAGCTATACACCAATTTGACATTATTGAAAGATTCTATGTCCTATTAAATTTTAAGGTTAACAAAAGCTGCCAAAATCAGCTGCGACTATTGATCAAATATTTGCTTTCAAATCGATCAAAAAATGGATTGTTCGATTCGAACCACTTTTCAAGCAATAAAAAAAATCTGTAGGTTTGTTATCAGCACGACGAAGCTCCTGAATGATCCATTGTCGTTTCCATAAGGCATTTCCCCGTGGGCCAGTTCTGGGCCACCCTGTATAGGGGTCATTGTGGTGAACAGTTTTTGCAAAGATACCCCTAGTCAAAAATGAGCCATTTTGGCTCCAGAGTCATTTTTGTTTAAAAAGTTGTTCTTAACTTCTTGAATGTAAAGGATATTAGCTAAACCAACAATTTCCTGCGCGATGAATTGGCGAAGAAGGACCTATTCGATGGCGGACCGCGAAATCCCGATTTAACCCCATTGGATTTTTCCTTCTGGGGTTATATGAAGTCGTTGGTGTACGAAACTCCTGCAGACACCCAAGAATTATTAGGAATAGTGATTGTTGCCTCTTTTTTCATTCAGTTCCGCACATCTTCTAACGGGTGCGAGATTCAATGAATCAGAGGATCAATTTATGTAATAAAGTAGAGGGTGGCTATTTTGAATCCTTATTGTGATTCATTCTACGTATTTGTAATTAAAAATAATAATTATATATTGACGTTTTTCACATTCAAAAGGTTAAGAACATTATTACATATCTATGGGTTAAGAACAACTGTTTGCCCTCACGGCAGTGCCTGAAGCAGGCGTAGCTGGGATTGCGACGAACCGTTTGTCTTCGTACCAAAGGTGCCTTCAGATAACGCAGAACTTTTGGAAGCGTGGGAGCCGCGAGATCGTCCCTGAGCTTCAGGGACGAGCCAAATGGAGCAAGAATCTACCATCGAGCTGCATCATGGAGCCGATGGATTCTCCTCCGATGGAACTCCTTGAAGTTATGTCGTTATGTAGATTAAAGCTGTTGTATTTCGTATTACCTTGAATCAGTTTGATTTCAACGAGGGCAAGTGTTTCGTCGTCTCTGTACATGTTTGTAAGCAGAACCCTATTGGCTAATTTAGTTTGCTAAGGAACAAACCTTTAGCTTCTTAGCAACAGGGGTCCGCAATTATTTTTAGTTTACCTTATAACGTCAATCAAAATTGTAATCAGTCACCGTTTAATCACCCTCGTATTGACATCAAAATGTTTAGTAAAGCGTACCGTTCACGTGTATTTAGAGTAAAAATTAATAAACCGTATTGCATCCAGTTTGCGAATTATTTACCGATCGTCTCCGTAGTCCTTCTAGTTACAAGTAACCTTTAACATGTTTTGTATACACCCTGTATAAAATAAAAGTTTTTTAACACAGATTCAAATACCTTTGACCTTGCTAGTGGCTACCCTACCGAAACCGTATCCATATCTTTAAATGGATCTTTTTTTCGGGATCCCGTAAAAAAATAATTTATAAGGGTCCGCATCGGTCAAATTTTTCAAAAAAAAATTAGTAATTCAAAAAGTATGCATTTTTAAAAAAAGTTTTTTAGACAAAAGCACTCTAAAATTTTGCCTAAATTTCGAAAATATATTAATATATGGGGTGTCCCATTTAAATAGCAAAGTTGCTGTCCATTTCCGGTATAACAGGAAGTCAAGAAAAGTTGAAAATATTTTCATTGAATAGAGCGCATCGACTAATACTTGTACACAAATTTTCAAATTTTAATTACCACTACTTTTCCAGATACTTCTAATATCAATGATATTAAACAACACTATCCGATATTAGCACCATCTGTCGAGAGTCACATCATCCGCAACACATGCATTTTCAACATGAGTTGCCCGAGTTGCCACATTTCGAATTAAACTTAGCTAAATATTATAATATTTATTATTATGTAAAAAATTAACAATGCATTGTTAAATAATGAAAAATGCTTAATAATTATTAATAAAAAATCGCTATACAATAAAATATTTAATTTGCATAGTATATGTTATGTTCAAAATTTTATTAAAATTTGCATTAAAAATATATAAATTCTCGGTAACAATTTTAAACAACCCTTCTAGCCCTTCTACCCCACCCTACCCCCTCCTACTCTTCGCTGCCCCCATCTACACTATACTACTCCCTCCTTCTGTACTCTAACCCCTTTTAAGGTAAACCCCCAGAAAGTTAAAAAATATTAAACCTACATTTTCAAATAACTTTTTTATGTAACATATGATTCAGTACTCATAATCACAACGTAATATAAATACCTATAATAAACACTTATGATTCACTGCTAGATTCAATAGATCCAACAATATATCTTGCATTTTTGATTTCGGTAATTTCTTTTGGATTTTGTATGATTCTTGTTCATAAAACTCGCCGCTCCATTTTTGATATACGTCTAATAATTGCAGTTCCTGAAAAATTGAATATACTTTTTCGGTCGATTCCTCACAATTTTTACCAAAGTGTTCTTCTAAAATTTTCTTTTGAGCAGCACTTGCTCTTTTGTAAGCCTCCATTGACAGCCAAGTTGGTCTACCCAAAGAAATATCGTTACATGATGTCTTTAGAATATTACCTTTAAGATCATAAAGGTCAAGAACATCATCCTACAAAACGCACTGCGTTAGAAACCAGATAAGTCATGTTGTATCTAAATTAATTCTGTAGTATTAGGATTAATTATCTTACTTCTATCTTTAAATAACGTGAAATGTCTTCACAAACTTCATTGCAAACTTTATGCAAGTATCCATCAGTAACATTGGCCAAAAGCATTGCCGTAGATAATATATTGTAGCAATAGAATTTGGTATAGTTTTTGTGTTTTTCTACCTCATTTATATTGTATTTTTTCGTTTCAATGACGTTGCTTAAATTTATTATAGCGTGCCCTCTTAAAAAATGTTTCTGCATGATATACTGATGAGGAAGGCATCGTAGGTGATTTTGAAGCAGAAAAATAGCACCATTGAGCAGAAATGCTGCGTCAACTATAGCAGCATCTATTCCTATATCGGGTAATTGATACCAAGTTGTTTTGTTATATCGAATATTCGTTTTATCAATGATATCATCAACTATAACTAGCGATGAATGTATCTAAAAAAATCCTTATTTACGCAAATTCAATTATCTAGAATCACGGTCCTATATTTCTAAGGTCTGGCATCTCCCTGTGCTTATGCATTAGAGAATGTGTCCCGTTATTTGAGGACTTTTTAGGCTTCACTTTTTCGCCGCACCGTGGCGAACGCTGACTTAAGTATATTTTTATATTTTGTATCTATTTTTAGTTTGAATAAAACCTATCTTAATGCTAATTCTACATAATTCGTACGCAAAAAAACCGGGGTCCTTTACAACATTGCCTCCTAGCGGCCGTTTTAGGAACCCAGTTTTATCCTCAAATAACGGGACTCTTTTTCGACCCATGATTCCAGACCTTAGAAATATAGGACCGTGTCTAGAATATTAGGAACATTAGCATAGTACTTACCAATTTGTGACACCATGCCAAAATGTATGCTTTTTTTAAGTTCTCGTCGTTTAGCAAAGATGGTTTCTCCAATAATTTGTAAGTGTGAAGGAATAAAAGAGAAGCAGGTAAGAATGGTGTTTCTACATTGGCGTTATAATCGATAAGTTTCTCGCATCGATCTCTCAATTCAGAATTATCCTTTAGAACTAAATGTTCTTCTATGATTTCTTCGCGGATGGCAGGAAATACCAACCGTAGAGGTCCTTCTTCAACTGACATGTCGACTAATAGTCTATTCGAATCAATTGGATGTTTGTGCGTACAAAAATCATTATAGTAATTAAATTATTTACATACCGATTATTTTTTTTCTGCGAAAATGAACACAAATTCCTGAATTGAGATGAAACTTTTGGAAAAATATAATTGTTCTTCAATAAGTTTAACATAGTTCTTTGAATATAAAAACTAGATTCACTGAAGGTGTATTAAATGGTGTAACACCGACAATATTATAACTTTTGTTACAATAAATTTAGGCGGAAACGAAAAAAAATAATATAATCCATAAGAAAGATTTAAATCTCATTAAACATTTTTAAGTACAAAAGTATTTAAATTACTTATATTGTTGTTATACAGTGCTTTTTAAGGAAACCGTCCATTAGAAGTTATAGGAGATCATAAGGAGTTAGAAATTTGAAAATTTAGGAGTAAAGGGCAATCAATGTTGTGAGTTTTTTTAAAATATTTTCAACTATATGTTCAACTCCCAATTATTTCGCTATTTCAAATAGAAAGTACCATTTTTAACTTCATTTTTGGATTCTGTGGCACTTTTTCACTAGACTTTGATAATAACAGTATATGCCAAAAATGCCCCAATTTTAAGTTATTAAAATTTTTTGGAAATTTTTTCCAAAAAACTGTCGAATGCATTTTCTAGGATATATCTGTTAATAATGCACCTAGAAGTTTTAAATTTGGTATGGATAATGTCCAAACACAGTATTAAATGAAACTAAACTGAGTTTTCATGGTCTATTTACAGGACGTTTAAAATTGTCTGACTAACTTGGCTAACTTAAAGTGGCTTTAACTTTGTTATTTCAAATGGATCATTCTGTACGCGATCATTCTATACAACGTTCTGCGACTGGAAATCTGAGGCGCTCAATCTCAATGATCTCTGGCGTACTGATGGACTTCTGTTGACCTGGGTGCTTCCGATTTTCCAAGGAGCCGGTTTGTCGGGAATTTTGAACCTACGATTACACTAAATTTGTCACAGGGAACATTACGTATATGCCGAATATTGTTATGGTTGCAAAAACGTTGAATTGCCACTACATATGAGTCTAGCGCTTTAGCAACCACCTCGACCGAAAACCGAAAATCCGCTTGTATTCACCACAAATTACTTTAATCGGTTGCACAGGGCACGTTCGAAAACTGAATGCTATTCTGAGTCACCCTGTACTAAATTCCTTGATCTTTATTATGTGAAAATTGATAATTCTTATGGTAATTTTTAAATGTTCTGATTGTATGCGTTTTTATCTATCGTGGCAGGTGTATCCTTAATTAACAATACGTACATAAATTACAAAATAAGAGATACATAAATATGTATGGGTATTTATAAAAATGTTCAATTTTTATTAAAATAAGAATAAAAAAAGGTGGTTTACCCGCTTTTTGTTATTAGCTGCTTCATACTTAGTATTACATATTTTCCTGTATCGTGATATGAAGTAATTTGGAAGAAATTTATGATTATGTGTTATCTGTGGATTTAGTAAAAAGCGAATAAAATCGTTTGTATGCAATGAAATTATAGATTTGTTTGGTTTACTATTCCAGATTTGTACAAGGAGATCTGCTGTATAGGTGATATTTTTAGTTTAGATAAGTTGTTTTATCTACTTTATAATCATCATCAATAAATGCTATAAAAAACAGAGGGCAATTTGTTATAGACTCGTTATAGTAAACTTAGCGCTAATGCAAGTTTACAATGTGAATTCTAAAAATGTAGAACCACATTGTAAGTACCTAGCTATATCTAGAAGAAGATGACTTGCCAGTGGAAAATTACTGTAATTTTGTCATCAATTTCTCTAGAAACTCTTACAAATACCCTCATTCAATACCCTTTCAGAAAACCTAGCGAAAAGATTAGAAGTGCAATTCAGAAAATCATGAGACTCCGATGGATTTTAATTTTTTTAACGGAAACTGTAAATGTTACAACGGCATTTTCTGTGTTATTTTCAATAATACAAGAATATGGTAAAGATCACATGATTAGCGAATTTTCGTGCAATGGGAAAGGTAATAATTTCTTTTGGTTTGATTTCCCATTTTTTTCTGAAATATAGAGAAATATGGCATATAATTGCGCATTTGTTTTAGAATCTTTTAATTTATTAAAACTTGCAAGTCAAACGTATCAACCAATTCGAATTTTGAAGATTGATGAGAAATTATTACAAAATAACGTACCAGCAAATACCATATTTGTCATGAATCTCGATTGTAATGGATCACGAGCCATACTAAGAAAGGTAGATTAAATAAAATATATCATTATGCTTTCCTGTAAATTTTTTAAATTAAGGTTTAGAGGTCTTATTATGAACTTACGTTTTTAGAGCGATGCTTTAAATCTTCTTTCATTACCATATAAATGGGTGCTCTTTCATTCGAAACCACTTGGTTCATACGAAAAATATTTTTACGATTTAAACTTTTCGATCAACAGTGAAATCAATGCATTGCAAAAATATAAGAACGGAAGCACAATTTTAAGAAAAATCTACGAACTGAAAGGTGATTTACAAATTGAAAATATGGGAATTTGGGAAAATAATATTTTCAAAAGTTTCGACATCGAGCGCATTACCGTTAGAAGACGAAAAAATCTGAAAAATATAACATTAAATACTTGCATAGTAATCACTAATAACGATAGCTTGAATCACCTAACTGATAAAAGGTAAGGTATTTGAAATAAATCAGATTATTATTAAAAATATTTATAGGTGTAACCTACCTAAATTTAGTTCTATAGGAAAAGGTAAACAATTAGTCTAAATGGCTACATTTTTATAGGGATCCCCATATAGACAGTATTTCAAAGGTAAATTACGTATTAATAGGACATTTCAAAGATATTTTAAATGTTACTTTGAATTTTACTATTGAATCCACTTGGGGTTATAAAGTGAATTCATCTTGGACCGGTATGATTGGGCTACTGTCAAGGAAAAAAATAGATATTGGAGGTACCTAAATTAATATAATTCTTAATACGTTATTAATCATTCATTAATTATAGGAACATCGTTATTTTTTACCGAAGATAGAGTAGACGTTATTGATTATGTGGCCATGATTACACCTACAAGATCCTATTTCATATTTAGAGAACCGAAGTTATCGTATGTGACAAATGTTTTTATATTACCCTTTGACATGGGTGTTTGGTTGTCCACAGTTGCATTGGTCATCATTGCCGTTTTCTTCCTCTATGTAATATTAAATTGGGAATTAACAAAGGAAATATATTTAAAGAAAAGCGTAAGAAGAGCGTAATTTCTATTAAAAAATAATATACCTAATTTTTTCTAGAACTCATACTACGCAAGCAATAATAAACCGACAGTACTTGATGTCGTTCTCATTTCCTTTGGAGCATTGTGTCAACAAGCCTCACACATAGTCCCTGCAAGTGTACCCGGAAGAATCACAACTATTGTATTGTTCCTCTCTTTGATGTTCCTTTACACGTCGTATTCTTCGAACATTGTAGCTTTGTTGCAGTCGTCTTCATCAAGCATTAAAAATTTGCAGGATTTACTCAATTCGAGACTTGAAGTTGGAGTAGATGATACAGTTTTCAATAGATTTTATTTTCCGGTACGCAGTTTTTTAAATTTAAAACGGCAGTTACATCGTTAAATTCGTAATTTTTACAGAACGCTACCGAACCAACACGTAGAGCTTTGTACTTGAAAAAGGTGGCACCTCCTGGTAAATCGGACCATTTCATGCCGATATTAGATGGTGTTAAAAGAATTAGAGAAGGTTTATTCGCTTTTCATGTGGAGTCCGGTCCTGGATATAAATTAATCGGTATACAGTTTTTGAAATTATACCAAATTTTGGCCAATGATATGTTGAATTAATATTTTAGGGGAAATATTCCATGAAGATGAGAAGTGCGGATTGCACACTATTCAATTTCTCCAAGTAATTGATCCGTGGTTGGCGATTCAAAAGCGTTCACCATATAAAAAATTGATTCAAATAGGGTAAGCTTTCATGAAAAAAATTGTAAATTAATTGCACAAGTTTATATTTCCATAGATTCAGAAAACTTATGGAATCAGGCATTCAAATAAGGGAAAACACTTTGATTTACCACAAAAAACCGGTATGCGTGTCTAGGGGATCTGCATTTGTTAGCGTCGGTATTGTAGATTGTTATCCTGCCGTGGTAGTTTTAGTTATTGGAATCGGAACTTCGCTTTTCGTTTGGGCCATTGAATTATTAAACAAACGGTACGGAATAATTTCATTATATTAAGTAGGTACAAACAACTTTAGTGTAAGTTTGTTTTTTTTAGGTTTCTTGTAACCGATTATATTAAAAATATGTTAAAAAATTATCTTAAGATCAAAGAGTCAAAGCATGAAGACTTGAAGGATTAATTAAAACAGAACGGCGATGTTTTTCAATTTTTATTATCACATTGTATCAAAATCACGGATTTTGCAATTTTGTAGTAATACAAGAAATAAATGCACAAGAGAAAAAAATGGTCAACACAAATTTCGTATTTTAGTTCGGTTTTTATTGTCGAGTGTTTTAATAATGATTTAATGAAACATAGAGTTATGTTTTATTTTACTTGAATATATAGTGATTACACAGTTAACATTTATAATTCTATATTATTGACTGTTTTTAAATGAAATTTTATTGCAAACCTTATTTACATTAAAAGTTACGTGTATTTTTATGTTTTCGGAATCATAGACTTGAATCTAAAATAAGCTAGGTAATGAAAATATTTATTTATTGTAGATATACGTAATAGCCGTTCTTTAAAGAGATATTTTATATAAAAAAATATTTTCTTATTTATTCACCTGTCTAGATTATCATTTTAAATCGAAGAAATTACTTTTGTTTTAAATACCTAGATACCCGTCTATGTTCCGCAGCTTTAGTTGAACAAATATTGAACACCGACACATAATTTATTACTTTTTGCAATATCTGCTTTTATAATTTAAACATTTTGATTTCTAGTTTTACAGGTAATATATAAATTAATAAATATTTTGTAGTTATATACATCATACTAAAAACTAATGAGTGCGTGCCTGTAAACGATAATTTTATAGTTAATCAAAATTTTGGCAAATCATTTTGACGAAATCTTTCCCTCTTCAAATCCCTCTTATTTTATTTGAATCATTCAAAAGTTTCCTCTAATTAATTATTTATATAATCCATATAAAAATATTAATATCATTGAATAGGTTATTCAAAGTTTCCCATGAATGCATGCAATGAACTAATTAAGGTACATAAGGTACAATTTAATTTAACAATAAAATTCAAAAATATTGGATACGATTTCGTCAATATGCCTTTAGAAATAAATATAATTAGCAGTGTAGTTAACATCAACAATAACAGCAACAACATTTTAGCAACAACAATGTAAATCATAAGAAAGTTACACAGATCTGAGCTTCACTTAACTTTAAAAAACTACTCATAAACTGCAATTTAATCATAAATATTCAATTTGCATAATTAGGACCACAATTTTATTGTATTTATTTTGTATACCACATAAAAGATAGTTTTACAAATATAGCAGCAATAAAAAAATTATTGTGTAATTACATAATATAAATTAATTTATAGTGATTCTTGATTGATCTGTGTAACTATCACATTTTACGTATATAAATTTATTTTATTCCTATCTACAATTTTCCATATTAGAAGAAAATAAATTAATAAAATTATTTAATGAGCTGATAGAACTTTGAGAATATAAGTTCCATATAAATTACCAGTGCTTTCGAATTATACTTATAAAAAAACAATTTATGTATATTACCATAAATGACAAATAAATATCCTGAAAGCTATAATTAATGGCTTACAGTTTAATATTAACTGCCATATAACCCTAAAATACTTACGAGAATTCGAAAAATTTATAACTTATCTTAATTAAGTAACGCTAGAATCATATTCAATTACAAGAAGTACAAAATTATACACGTTGAAAAAATTGTTAATTTTCAAATTCTCATAAAACAATGTATAACGGCAGTTATCATATTGAACATACATTTTTTGAATTGGCAAAAATTTTACATATAGTGATGTATTTATAAAAGTATTATTTGGAAAATCACTCAGGTAATTCATCACTGTAACTAATTAACAATGCACCTTAATCATAAGAGTTTTTTTTTCAGGCAATAAATTAAAACATTCAAATTATTCCATTAAGCAACTTTGTCAGTCAAAGAGTTAATTTTCCTTTACGCTGATTAGTCGATTGACATTAAATAAAAATTAGCGTTTGACTTTGAACAAGTTGACCATCAATGATAAGTTAAAATGGAACACTTTTTATTGAACGCCAGTGTTCTAAACTTCAGCTTTTGCTGGGTTTGGTGTTATTTTCTTGATTGGGGTTGATAATTTTTAAGCTTTATTAAATCACAGTACAGTTTCCATTTCAGCTATCTCCGTCCGTGGCCTAAAAACCAATGCAGCAATTAATAAATGATATTATCATTGTATATCACTATTTTTTTATCAGCTGTGATTTGATTAGTCATACTTTACCCGAATAAATCAATGTCACTTCCCCCTCTTCCAGTGGGATTCAAATTTCTCAATCTAGCCCTTGCTTGTTCACCTGATACAATTACACTGTAAAATAGAGTAAATTATAACTTATTTATTGGGTATCAATCAGCGAATGAAGCAGATGTTAATAATTCATTTTTTGACTAATATTTTATACATAAAAATGAATATCATAACACAATAAAAAGATTCAAAAAATGTATTAGGAAAGCATTTATTTCAATAAGGTAGGCGTCTAAACTTGCAAGCAATATACTACAGGTGAGCATTAAAGTACCTATTATGTTCATGAGAATATTATCAAATACATAATCATTGGAAAATCAGAGGAATATTGATCGTCAGTACTATTACTAGTTAAATATCATAAAAAACAATAATCTAAAACTGATTGTATACTTACATACTCTCATGAAATAATGCAAGTCAACTTATCAACTTTTACTACAAATAACGTGCAGGCGTGCAATAATATCCTTCATGATTACATTTACCATTAACTTTATTTATATTCGTTATAGTTATAGTCTTAATACCTATTTCAAGTTCACGTAACTTAATAATTCCTCTTCTGGCTCTAAGTCTCAGTTCTTTGTTGCCAGTGAAATTGAAATAGAACCTACCAGTTTTGCATACCGTGCAACACAAAAACATTTATATGCCGGTAAAACGTAAGTCTGGGACTTACTCAGGTGACTCGGAAGAATCCAGACAGGCTGTGAAACAGTTGCAGGTGCTAGGACGTTGACGCCTACCATTACAAAACGACATGATAGAGAATAAAAAAGGTAGATACTTAAGGAAACACTCGTATTACTGCACATAAAAGGAATTTACTTTAAAGGGTTTATTACAGTGTGTACTAGCAAAAATGTAAGTGATTGTAGTTGCAACCATTGTGTAAATTACGTTGTAGGTATCAATGTTACGCAGATATCAAATAATTTACGTTCAATTTTGCAAGTAGTTCTTGGTTTTCTGTTGCAATAAGTTTCAAGTGGCAATTTCATTCATAAACCATGCTAAGCTGATTTTGTCAATATTGTTTACTTTCTCAATACTTTTAAATGAGCACAATCATTCAATGATACTCTCACATGTTTTTAGCTTATACAAATTACATTATACATATATTATTTTTTAATCGCATAATTTCGATAAAATGCCTAAATTAGGCAAGCACCATCGTGTGACATCGCATAATAATTAGGGAAGCATTTTAATATAGTTGCCGTTTGACGTAGTTGGTAACTATTAAACCTTTAAGAGATATTGTAAATTTAACTTGAAACAAACTTAAAGCTCCTTAAATGTGAAAGTTCATGAAAAGTCTGAAGTGGAGTTTAATAGAGGTAACAGTCGAATTTGTTTAGACAATTTCCATTAACCGCGAAAATTCAGAGGCGTGGAAATTTATTTTCTGCACTTGACAACTGATTTTAAGATTATCAAGTTCACTGTATTTTATTAAACAATATTAACAATTTAAGTACCTACTAAAAATTCGAAACAATGTAGTTTTTCCATTAGATATCCTTTAAATATATCGGAATAAAATTCGAATTCATGCAAAAAACAAATACTGATGTTTTAAATGTATAATCAAACATTTTTCTTGCAAAAAAAACACAGAATGAATCAATTTTTCAATTTTTGAAAAATTATTTTATTGTTTTAAAATTATGATTATATGTATACTTTAACTTGAGATATGTAGAAATAAAGAGATAATACAAAACGATACAAAATTGTTAAGACTAGAATGTTGAAAATGTATGTTGAATGTAGAAAAATGAAGGAAGAAAGACACTAATAAACAAATAATGGATAAGCGCACTTACAAACAAAATTAATAATATTTTTGATGTTCTTATTAATTGATTCATTCTGCCTGACTGACTTACCGCTTACAAGGCGGCGGTGGTTTTATACCGTGCGTCTCCATTTCTTTCTCCAATTGTTTGATTCTCAAATTCGCCACGTCCAATTCCCGCTTTACCTTCCACAAATGCGTGTCGCAAAGAGGATCCTTGCACCTGTGATTCCTAAGGATATCTTGAGCTTCGTAAACGGCACCCCTGAAAGTTAGACTCTTCCCCATGGAGAGGCTAATCAGCGCGCAACAGCCACCTCTGTCGGTTTTCGCCAGATGCTTTCGTACGTATTTGAAGTAAAGATGCTCGAGAAGGAGAAGTAGCGCCGCTAGAAGAATACCTGACATAAGAAGCAAAAACGCCGACAAGAATTGCTCCAAAGCCAGCGGATCGGAGCTTTTGTGCTCCTGCTTGCCCGGCCTGCAGGTGCCCGTCATCCAGTAGCGTCTCAGGCGTTCCAGATCGCCGTTTTCCCGAAAGTCCAGCAATCTGTCGTATTAATTACATTCGATACTCATTAAGGAAATCGTTGGTTCAGTCGACTTACCTTTTGTTGAACATTTTGAGATATTTAGAGTTCCTTGGAAATGCTAATCCATATCCGGTCATGGCGTACCAAGAACCGACGGTTAGTAACTTACAATCTTCATCCTGGGCGGCTAAATAATCCAAAACTGTTCCATCGTAGATAAAAGCATCGACTTCCCCGCTCAGAACGTCGGCCACACCTTGGACGACGTTCGATCTTTGATATGGTTGCATGTAGGCGTGCATTTCTTTGAAATACTTCGCTATGGTTGAATCGGTGTGAGACCAGGGAATCGTGCCGAATTTTATCATCGGTTTGTGGGATGTTGGCCTACACAATCGGTGATCGGCTACGCCTAAAAAATTACACATTGGAAACAAAATGTCCATACAAGTTAGATTTATTGACAGCAAAAAAAGGGAGCTGACATTCGGAGAGGTTTAAATGAAATTTATGCGATAAGTTATACCGGAGAATTCGAAGAATTCTTCTCTGGTGATCATGAAGGCTGCTAGATTGGCAGTGTAGATAGCGAGGAAGACAACGGCGAACATCGCCCAAACATTGGTCATAAATCTCGCGGTGAATCCCTTGGGAGAGTCGACGTGCACGGCGGCTTGGAATAGAACGGCCCAAACCAGCCAGTAAGTCCTGAATAAAGAGAATCTATGCGAAGCCGAGGGATGCTAAAAAGATACGGTTAATTTACTACCTTGCGTGTCGAATTTTCATCAACGTGCGTTTTGCGAGAATAATATTCGTAATACGGAGGAATGTGTTTACATACCTGGTTCAAAGAAAGTTTCATATCGAATCCGCTCGGCGAGAGCCATTCGAATAGGAATATTGTGAATGTAGCTGCTTGTATGGCAACGATGCCGACCAGCATCCAAGAGGCAGTGTCGAAGGGTTCCAAGAACGCCGTAGGTGAAATAATTCCAGTTCGTTTTGCCACTATAATAGCAATACCGGTTTCCATGTAAGGAACACTGAAATCCACCTGGAATTTAAAAACACAATTTTCAATCCTAGCTGCTTGGCCACTAATCTAATCATATTTAACGTTAACATTTCTCAAATGTGTTCTGAGAAATAGTAGTTTACATAAACAAATCGAAAACAATTTAATTAACGCTATTAATTACGTACCACGGCTTCTCTTTCTGCGTTTATCATTAATGAAGTAAGAACCATATCGGTTTTTCGATTAACCAAGTCTGCGATTAATCCGTTCCATTTGCCGTTATCGTTTGTTCCCCATCTGCCGTCTTCCACGCGCACTAGCTCATATGTGAAACCCAATTCCTCGCTGAATTTTTGTAACAAATCTATGCAGAATCCGGAACAGCATTGGTAGTAACTGCCGTTTCTGTGAGCTTGAGACATATCGACCCTGTAATAAACATATTTTTGAATTACGGTCGAATGGAGAGAAATATTTTAGCTTTTTGATTAGTTGAAATGGAAGGCAGATGTAGGAATTCAAGCAATTTAGGAGGATTTGTGGAAAACAAATTTTGCATATTATCCTCCCTATGTATCTGTATACCTATACCTGGTATAATCGATTTGAAATTGCGGTGCAATGCTTGATATCGATATCCAATCATCCCCATCACGTCAATTTGATTTTCAATTCCACCGTCTAATATTTGACTAATATACCAAATCATATTACAGACTACATTCTGCCGAGTTATTCCGATTGCTGTGGCTGGAACTTTTCGATTTCGAAAAGAAGCTTATTGACTTTCTGTCTCCTTTTTCCTAAACAAACTTTGCGGTTCTCATAAAGAGCGAAGCCCCGAGATTTATCGAAGTGTCTGAAAGTTTCGTGTCAATAAAAAAAAATTAACCGTAAATCGTGTTTCGTGCAACACCTTTAATACCTTCAACATCGTAATTCAGTGCGAAGATAATTTTGTTACTAGACTAAAGAATTAAGGATGTTGAGCGAATTGGTGTAAACATACACGATATGTATCTTTCTGTCGATATTGTACAATGATTTTTTTGAATATCCCCGAAAGCAAGAAACATTTGTCAAGAGTACCCGAAAGCTGTCTACTTTTGAAGCTCTGTAACATCCCTGGAGGAATGTCTTTGAATACTACAAGGATATTTATTTTACTGCGTCGTTTCTTCCCGAAATTTTTGCAGATTAATTTGCAATTCAATAGGGTGTTTTCGAATTTAGAGTGTATATTTCAAGCTTATATTAATTGTTCAGATTATCTTGCAGGAAGATTTTGTTATAGATAACTTTTATATTGTTAAAAGAATAATATGAGTTTAAAATAAAATTGCTACTATTCAATAAATTGACCACGCAATTTACTCATTTGTTATAATGGGGAAGATAGAATTGTAGCAGAGAACACGACGTAAATATCGTGAAGAAGAATGTGCCCAGTTTTCTGGACCACAGAAGCAAAAACAAAATTGATTTGGTAATAAATTGGCGAAACGACAGCCAAAGAAACATTTCGGACGAAGTGTTTTTATGGTTCATATAAAACCCGAAATAAAACGTTACTTCCTTTCATAACGCGGTTTAAGACGAATGGCGTTAACCACGAACTTGAATAGTTGATTAGGATAGGCGTACTTACCAAATTAAGTACCCATATAAAGGCTATAAAACGTTTTTTTAGATAATCGCAGTAAATTTTTTTAATATGGGAAAGCTTACAGGAAATATTCGACATTTAGCCACTAAAACAATAACCATTTGCATTAATATTTTTTATAATATTCAAATTTAATCCTTCATGATTCTACATACATGAAATGACGCAAACTTCAATGCAATTAACTCCTGTTATAACCATTAGGATCCAAATTAGATAACAAACTTACTCAGTGATATCAGCGTCGGTAGCCACTCTGCACAGGACTCCCCTGTCCATGGAGCATTTCCCTGTGACGGGGTCCGGCGGGGCCAAGTTGATATACGGCGGTTCCTCCAAAAAAGTTATTTTCAAGTGAAACTTTTCCGGCACTCCCTGTGGAGGCGTGTGGCTGTTTCCCGGCCAAACGATATCCTTTATGTCCAATCCTTCCTTCTGCCAGGATTTCCATACTCCGATCTGTAAATGCAAATCGAATTTAGCCCGGATTTTGCGAATATTTCGTGAATATTTGACGATTTGCAACGGACGAACGGATAAACTTAATGAAATATATACAATTCAGTGGCCGTAAACAAATTCTACATATAATAATGATTCTAGAATTGTGTGTAATAGGTATATATGATATTGATTTATAAAGGGTGTTTCAATAAGAGCGCAAGATTTTGGGTTCAATAAAACAATGTTATCTGTAGCAAAATTAGAAATATTTATTAATTTATCATGTGTACATTTAGGAATTATATATGAAACAAAATATCTTGTAAATGGCCCCACGGCTTTGCTGGCACAAGCGTACTCTTTTGATAAAATTTTCAATAACATTATTGTATATTTGGCGGTATTTTATTGATAGAGCGTCTAATTTCGGCTTTCAACGCTTCGGTGGTCGCGGGCATGTTGGCATAAACCTGTGACTACAAGTAACCCCACAGCCAGAAGTCCAAAGGTGCTAAATCACAAAAACGTGGCGGCCAATTCTGGTCACCAAAGCGGGAAATGATCCGACCGGGAGGTAATGTTTAACAATTAAGACGCGATTATGTTTCATATCCAGATCCATATTCAGATCCAATGCTCCATATTTACTAACTCCCAACTGTCAACTTTCGATCTGTCATGTTATAATCACGTGTTATTATGACTGTCAAACATGACAGGCAATGCAAATCTTGCGGTCTTATTGAAACACCCTTTAGTATACAGAGTGTTAATTAATTGAATGCCGATATTTTAGGATTTGAATATTTGGATGATTTTAAGAAGAAAAGTTTATATCAATGTATGTCTAAAACTCTTAGTTTTCGAGCTACAGGGTGTTACAATTTAAAAAAAAACTTTTATCATAATTTTCTTATTACTCCACTTCTTATTAGTGAAATTAGATTTCCTTTTCACTTTTGTGTGAATAATGTGACAATAAACGCATATTGGCTTCGGAGAAACGCATTCTTCAGTATCTATGTGAATTATTCTCACAGTTTCAATCTCCATGAGCAAAATAATCGCAAGAGTTTGATCGAGAATCGTTTCAAATTTTTGTATTACCTACGCACTGAATTTGTATCAAAATTTACATAAACAATTGCCATACATACAGGGTGATCAAATTCAATAGGTGATCTCAATCAATTAAGTGCTGATACTTCAGGATGTGAATATTTGGATGATTTTAAGAAGGAAAGTTTTTATTAATATATGTCCTAAACCTCTAATTGACATAAACTTTTCTTCTTAAAATCATCCAAATATTCACATCCTGAGGTATTGGCACCCTTATTAACACCCTGTATATTTAAACAATGAGTAGGTAATAATTAAAGTAAAATATATGTATAACTTACTTCCTCCCATACTAGTTGTTTACTGACGCCAGGTCTCAAATTCATAATCTTCAGTTCAGCCGCTCGAAGGACTCCGTCTTGCGTAAACTCTAGATTGGGTTTGCCTTGATCGCCTTCGACGCTGACGTTTCTTAGATACCGGAAGAACCTGTCTCCGGTGTCCCATCTGGCCGCTCCGGCCCCTTCGCAGGAGAGTTGGGTGTTCAGGGATCTGCCGTCGTTATCCGGATCCGAAGTGAAGTCTTCCACTCCGTAGGCATACACTTTTACGGCTGTCATGATTTCGTTGACCAATGAGGAACTCGAAGTGTCGAAGTGGACACCTGGAAAATTTACTTCCGACTTTAATGCGAATCCACGGTTGATGTGGATCTACCAATAATATTTGGATTAACGGCAAACAATCATCAGCGATCGTGAAATTAAATTAGTTAACGCGGTGTATGGAGTGCAGACTGCTCAGGATGGGAATAAAAATTGTCAATTTCGTCGACTTAATTGAATTCATCTGAACCGGCGTATCTAACGCGGAATTGTAAATTGATTTCTATTCAAAATTAAATTGGATAAACCCAGATCGTCGTTCTCATTGCTGGTTTCTAATAACAGTGGATTGTTTAAATTTATATACATGTGTGTACTAACCGAAATGTGCGATGCAACACCCAGTAAAGTTATTCCGAATTAGGCAGTTCGATAATGGAAGGGTGATACAAATGTTGAACATTTGTTTAGTAAATGGATTTAGATACGGGTTCAGTAGGTATTTATGTCTTTTAGCTTTTCGGGTCGTTTAGGGTAATTACAGTAAATTAATCAGATATGCTCAATGACAGATTACCAGCCTCTTATTGCATCTAATTTAAACGATCCAATTCATCAATCTTCGTAAACTAAAAAAATCTATTTTGCTTTATTCAGCAAAATGACCATTTAAATCATTTTTATTTCGTCGTGTCCCTTGCACGGCTCGACCTAAAAGGTCATAAAAATGTTTGAGTTTAACTTCAACACATCATTTTTTCAATTTCAAAAATGAACAACTGCGGTATTATGAAATTAAAACGCCAACGTTTGTTTCCAACGTACATAACTCTCGAAACATGTGTTGGTTATTATTCAGTTATAATCCCTGTCGCCTTTTCGCAAATATTCCAGCGGCAAAGGAGATGAAAGCGCTGCTTTGACGCAGGTGAGTTAGTTTGTTTTTACAATTCGCCATTGCAAATTTGCAAGGCTACATATTATACGGTTGGCATGTTTCCAAAATTTCATACCCCATTAAGCACCTACGTATCGTATGTAAAGCCTCTCTCGTATATTTTTTGTGTCATAAAAAGGTCTTTCGAATTTTACTGACTAAAACACTTATTAGTATTAACTTTAGCCATTTGGAAACGAAACTATATTAATAACTTTATTATAATTAAAGTTCCTTCCAGTTGATTTTCCTAATCCAACACAGAAAGTAATTAAACTTAGTTGTTGGAAATCAAGTTTGTTGCTACCCGATACCGCTTCCTATTATGTTTATTTGTAAATAAATGTTGTTCTTTTGTCATAAGTAAATTGGGCGAAAAACCGTGTTTTCCTCGCAGCGGTAGCTTCTATCAAAACTTTTCAGTCAATAGCCTCTTTCTTGTCACAACGTATAACTTTGTAATGACTTTAGAACCCTCCCAAAAGTTTAAACCGAGATTGCTGAATACTCAAGACGGAAACATTATACTTAATGACGATTAATTTAGGTCATAATTATCAAATCTTCTTCAATTCATCACCTACTCTTAATAAAATTGCTTCAGACCATTATTTCAGAATTTCTCAGTTCATGCTTGATTTAATTACCATCTAATCCAATGAAATTAAAAGTCTATGGTTTTGGTAAAAGCGCGTGGATAGATCAGCCTAATTAAACGAGAAATGCCACTATTACAGCAATAGGAGAAGATCGATGTATACTGAAAGGGTATAAACAAAAGACTCGTTAGGCGAGGTCTGTGGGCAGATATGAAGATTGATGGCACACTACCAACTTACACATTATTTGGGTGTGTTATTTCAAACTGTGGCGGATGAATTTTGAACTAATCCGTCACGTTCATGTGCATATTTGAATAACGTTTATTCGGATTAATAAAATACTCCATTCAAAAGGAAATAATGCTGGAAATGGAACAACATTTTAAGACAAACAAGCTCTACTCGCATATTCAAATAAATTGTACCCTGCGAATTTCTCTAAAGGCATTTCAAGAATTAATCAAGACGTAGGAACAACATAGTAGGTTGATTTAGAGAATATGAATCTGCGTAGAATATGCGTAGGCATACCTTACCTTCTACTCGTACGGAATTTATTTGTAACAATAAACAAATAAACAAAATTGATATTAAAAATTTACTTAGGTATTGTTAGGTAGGATGTTTTTTTCTGTTCTGCAGTTTCAAACTATTTTTTTTATTTGTATCTACCTTATAGATATTTATATCTGTTAATAAAATGATTATTTATGGCGAAAAAATTTATCATTATCTCCAGAAAACCCAAGAAGCGGAAAGAAAATGCTTTATTTTTAGCAGCATTAGATAATAACTGTCCAAAAACATATCATTTATGAACATCTTAATGGCAAGTTCTTTATTAGCTACATTTAGTCATTATACCGCTAGTCCAAAAGGATTATCGGAACGAAACGAATGAAAAAAGTAAAATACTTAATAAATGTTAATACTTTTGGGAGCTTAATAAAACGGTCTCTCATTTTTTTGGATCGTATTTTTATATAGTTTTTTCTTGTGCAAGTTAAAGCATCACAAAAATTTCATTTAATCTATTAATGAAATCCTAACTTTAATGAAACTTAGAACGAGAGTAAATGAGAGAAATTGCCATTTTCCAACTGTGAATTATTAATATTCATTTGAATAATCCCTTATTCCTGCCCCCAATATCCCATAGCGCACTGATATCCTTATTAATGTCCTTGTTTATTGCTCCCTATTGAAGACTTTAACAAATCCTTAAGGTACTAGTTGGCCCTTGCATGTTAAGCGCTAATGAGACTACAGAGACGTTGTTAAATTATCGTTGGAAGTTCGAATTAACTTAACAAGGACACACTGACCCTTCGGTAATTACTGTTGATACTTCCTACTTCCCATGCAATTTTAATGCATCCAGAATTACCTTTAATTACATTAAAACATTTTGTATCGAGCAATTTTGAAAATAACAAAATTCTTCGTTAACTTTCTCAATTCTTGGCGCTGAAATAAACCGTCTGATAAGGGTATGGTAGAAAATCAAATCAAAGATCACCAGCGAATAATGCCGGGCAATAAAAAAACAAAAACCTCGTGATTTATCTATTTGTCGAATACCAGGATAGGTCAATTTGGAGTAATCGCTTCACGATGATAAATGGTAGAACGTGTTGATTCTATTTCGGCATTTTCCCCGTGGATAAACCGAATAATGGAATTTGTCTAGCTAAAACAATTTATCCTAGATCATCATTCTAAGTTGGATCAATGTTCATTCTAATTCAGTCAATTAAGTTCAGGTGACTAATTAGAGATTTTCCGCTGGTTTAAAGTTCAACTTAAAGTTTAAAGCCAACTTAAAAGTTCATTTCGCTTTCCAAATTTTTGTCTAATACGTACATATGAATATTTTTATTTGTTTTAAATCTAATAAAGCAAATCCACAATTTCTTTTTCTTTTCAACGTTCTTTTTAAATCTGGAAAGCCTTTTCCTCTAATATACTGTTAAAAGACCATATACATGAAAAAACACGTAAATTCCTTACCGAGCATTCCTACGGGAAACTGATAAGGCGTCTGTTGAGGATTTTCTACAACACTCTGAGTAACTACCCAAACGTAATTTTCTCCAGTGAGATGAAGGTCCCTGGCCGCAGTTAGAATGTCGATGGCCTCTTCCCGAGTACAGTATAAAAGCATAACCCGAGCCTCAGAGTCTACCAGCGCTGCCAAATCGCCTCTGTTAGCCACCAAAACTGCATTTAATATGGTGAACTTGAAGCGATCCTGGAACAAGTACACGGCAATTATTAAATAATAAAAGTAAAATTTCTGTTGCCATTTATGAAATAATATAATCCGGGAATTTAAGAAATGTCGGAACCCATGAAAACGATCGTTGTTCGACAAAATTTAATCATTATTAAGAAAGGAAAAAGGCAAAGAGCTGTTAAAAAGACGATGAAGACAAGTTGCCGGCGTTGAAAGCATCTAAAATTTGACACGGGCGTGTAATTAATTTCATTAAAATATCATAATCGTAAATTTAATGAATCTCGATTCTAAAGTGTACATGAATGAGTGTAGGTTACCCAAGTAATTAAGTTCTGTCAAAACGAACAAGCTCCAGAATTTTTCGTAATGCTTTATTTTTTCCATCTAGGTACAAACGAGAGACATTTATAAAGTGGAGCTGAATATTGAGGGTAAAAAATCATTTATTTATGTCGCTTAATAAATGTTTAAAGACCACGATTTAATTTAACAATGAGAAAAAAAGTGCAAATTTAATGTATAGGTATCTACTAGAAAGTACTGAAATATGTCGAAGATTTTATTACTATAATTACTAAATAGATAGTTGCTTACTTTAAATTTGTTCAATCTGCATATATTAAATATCCTTGAAAGCCTTTCTAGGGATAATGTATGTAAATTATCTTCGGGAGCGAATGATGTTTATCATTAGGTAGAAAATTAATCCCTGCATGCAGCGTTGATAAATTGAACGGTAAGCTGATCAATTCCCGACATTCACTTGTAATTACAAATATTTGATTTTCGTTATTTTTGCAGTTTGTTTTACAATTTCGACATTGGAAGGTTTTATTTATTGATGTTACTATTTTATTGATATACAAAAATTGCAATTCACCGGCATATTTATTTATATGAGATTATATTTATCGAAAATTATTTAAAAATATTTCGAAAACTTTCAGCATATTCGGGACAAACTGGAAGAAGGGTTTCAACTAATATAATTTACATTAACCAAATTTATTATTATTAGCGTAGATTGTATCAATAAAAAGATTTTTAGCATCTGAGAAGCGCTGAAGTTTCTTATCACGAAAAGTCCAAAATACTTATTTTATTTTTGTACCATTAAAGAAACTTCGCATCTTCCTGTGTTTACAAACAAACAATTCAATTTTCTCCCTAATCAAACTTTTTCAAGAAGGATATACTTCGCCGAGCATTTGCTTCTTTAACCATTTAGTTTAGTTTCTCATGAGAATTTTCGAAGTCATCAGAATGCAGCCCGCAATGGAGTCAAACTGAAGTTTTTAAGAAAATAAGAGGTAGAATATTCCAATTTTCTCCTATAAATTTACCTTTACTCTATATAGCATTTTCAGTTTTCCAAACCGCATCGACTTTTAAAAAATTGGCCGAATTAATCAATTTAACCCCCCTTCGCTAGGTTTAATTTATAAATTAATCATTTAATTTAATTATACCTTATATCACTTACTTTAACAAAACCAGATGTTGCTCGCGTTGAGATGTATGTCATCATAAAATTAATTAGATTTCCCAAATTATTTGTAACATAATAATGAAGCAACAACCCTTGTAATTCCAATTTTCCAAGAATTTCGTGTAAATAATATTATTAACTGGTTAATTATATCCGTATATATGTTTGCCACTAGACCCCCACTAATTTGTCTAATTCCGGATCTAGATTAATTAATCAGAGTTGAAATCAGATTCGCGGAGTAACAATAGACTTGACGCTCGCGTTAACGTCTTCGAAAGACGTCCTGCGCCTCTTAAGTAGATTAACTCGGGAGCTGATAGAGTGCCATAAGCTCGCTGATTATTTCTGAGTACCTACTATTCGCGGTTTTATTGGGGGGTTTTGTTTTCAGTTGCCTAATCAACGGTGTAATCGCAATCTTGCAAAATTGAAACGGTATATTTCATGTCAGCCTCATGTGTTCACATCTATCAAACGGGTAGAAATATCTAAACTGAGAGGCAAAATAAATCAACAAATTGGAGTGTAGGCTTTTAGAACTAAACTGTTTTCTTCCAGTTTCGCACTTCCTGTTCTTTATTTAAAAGTCAACGAGGTGTGTATAAGAGAAACATTATAGACTAAGGATAATTTACTTTCTGTAAGTGTAGTATCTTATTTCCAAGCATTTAGGAAGCAATTAGTTTCATTAAAATTTTTCGAGCACTTCCTAATGGAATTAGCGGCTTAATTTGGACCTTTTTCATTATTTTAAAGAGTTTTGTCTCTTATTTTCAGAGCTTCCAGTAATTGTTTTTGGGAAATTATACGAAAAGTTCCCAGAAAGATAATATTCTTTTTATTTCGTTTTCACCTACTTTCTCAAAGGTTTCGTGAATGTTTATCGCATTATTCCAGATAATTACATTCAAATGGTTAAAAGTTTTCCAATATTCCAAGAATTTATTGAATTCTTTTAAACGTTCTTGTTATATCATAACGATGCCTGATAAATTTTAACGTATACCTACACAAAGTATTGAAATACTTGCAGAAGGTAAAAACAATTACTTAGAGTCTTTATGAGGATCGAACAAGAGCAGAGGGAAAATTAAAATTGAGTAAATTAAGATATATTATATTGAAAGTGCGAAGATTAAGTAATATATCGCAATATCAAATGTCAAGAACAAAGTAGAGGTGTAATATGATGTTCAATGATTACGGAAGTTTTACGTGGGTAGTATGGGGTATGCGTGTCATCAATCAAGGAAGCTTTCCAGACATTAAATTGGATTAATACCTACTGAAGATTACACGAAAATGTAAGAAAGGAAAATTTGATTCAAAAGAGAGCGTTGAGAGTCAGAAGTATTAACTTCGACATACTTGAGATATTAAAATTTAAATTAAAAATAAAATGAAATTTTTATATTTTGAAGTCCAAAATTCCTGTTTAAAACTGGTAATCTTTTATACATAGATGTTTTATCAAATTTTAATAGTTGGTTATTGAACATTTCTAATACCAAGATTTCCGGTTTGTTTGTTCGTGAACTTAAACTGTACTAAAGCACGTTGAATCATTCCTTATTAGAGTTTAGCTGGAGTTCAGATTGTTGTTGGTAAACTTAACTGTAACAAGCGATGTTTGGAAAGGGACTTTGGAGATGAACATGCGACAATAATTAGCAACTATGTAGTATCACCATTAAACCTAAAATTCCATTTAATTAACCCGTTTTACCAACCCTCTTCACGCCTTAAAATTTCATATCAGGGAACTTGCTTGCTTCACAAGAAATAGCAGATTGAGATAATAGATGTAATGCATTATAAAAACCGAAAATGAATTGAATAACGTAGACGTATGTTCGTTATCTCTTTTGTGAAAGCTAAACACCCATATATCATAAAGCTTATAGTTTGAACGGGTATTGGCAGTGGATTCGATCCTATTTTATTCCTCTTATTGCCGTTAAATAAAGGAAGTTTTATCGTGTTGTCTGCGAAAATCCTACGGTTTTATACCGGGACCTTTTCGTTATTATTTATGGATTGTAGAACCGTCGACCGTTGGTAATGGAATCAATTTCATGAAGTTGGCACACACACTTGGCAGTTTATTAGTTTGAAAAGCTAATAAAAGCTGCACATGCTTGGAGATATATTGGCGTATGAAAAATATTCTAATCGGCCATCCAAGAATCGAATAGGTACTATAGAAACTTCAAAGGTTTCCCTTTAAAGACTATACCAACAAAATTTTATTTTTATAAGGGTATGTAATTTTAGTCGGATAAATTGGTTAGGACGAATTGTTATTTGATATTAAGTATATATTATCTTTGAGTGTTCGAATAAAATAAGCGCGGAAATGGTGATAAAATAAACGATTTTTGAAGTGCTTCGTAAGGCAAAACTGAGCATTCAGTTTGCTGAAAATCCTTGTAAACCGGAATCAATTCCTGTCCAGAGGGTTATTGCGTGTTTTAGCACTTTTGAGATAGAATGTTGAATTCGCTCCAGTTTCTCGAGTATTTCACACTTGAGTATATCTAGATAGCAAATACTATACAGCCAGAAAATGCATCCTCTGTCAACGATATGCAATATCGCCTTTTAAGAAACGACGTTCATTTCTTCCTTTCATAATATTTTCATTTCCCTGTTCATAAAAATTTCTGGACAACTTGAATGACAGTTTTAAATTGTAGTAGATAATTGAATTCAATGGAAAATCGTGAAAAATTTTTAGGTGCGTGGTAATATAATAATCTAATTTATATATACCTAAAATGTTTGCGCATACAATTTCTCCCCGTTTAATTTACAGTTTCTTTTACCCCGAAAAGACTTGTATATTTTATACGCAAAGTACGGTTTACCCTTCGATTTTCACTTCGTTTTTCGATTTAAAAGCGCAAGGGCGTGTGATTTCAAATTTTCAACAGACATATAAATCGTCATGTCTGTATATACACCTCGGATAAGATTAAAAAGCTTTGGAAAGAGCTTTAAAAAGACCTTAACATTTTTCTTTTACTTTGCCGGGTCATCACTTTCGAACATCTACATGTTCGTAGTCTCTAAAGAATATTTTAAGTAATTATTCTCTCACCTGCATTGCCGAAACTCGCTCCCTAACGGCTTGGATAAAGTCATCGTGACCGGCAATCAGGCTGGTCACCACAGAGAATTGATGCCACTTGTACCGTTCCAAAATGCTTAACATAGCTGCAGTTTGATGTTCGAGAGACGGCGCAAGTTGCAACATCAACGATGACTGTTGAGAGGCCCTGCGTTCGAGTCCCGAATTATCGGCATTCCAAGCTGAAAGTAGGTCTCTGTATAGATATGGATGGTAGAGAGGTTATTGTGGAATATAACGAAAACGCATTGAGATCTTGTTTGATTTTAGAACAATAACGAAACTTACCAATTACAGGTATACCCAAATATCCAGCTAACTGAAGAAAGTATTGTGCTGAAGCAGTACTACGTCCGTACTGTTCATAGTTCATAAGATACAATATTGCAGAAACGTTGTAGGATAAAAACTCCTTACACAGAGACTTCAGAATTGCTGAAACAAAAATTAGAATGTACATGACGACCATAATTAATTCGAAAATTTCAGCGGCTTTTAACAAACAAGTTAAATAAAATTGCCACGTTGTTCATGTTATAAATCAAAGCCGAGATTGAAAGGAACATTCCCTTATCCCGCATATTCAGCTCCCATTAAAATAAGCTCCCGTATAACGCTCGCTGCTACATCAAAAGGATCAATCTCGAAGTATGTTGATGGATCGGCAGGTGATGAAGTGTTCGATAAAAAATTACCGGCGGCCCGGAAGCCGGAAACAATGTAGGTACCGAGGTGTTTCCACAAGTGGATGCCGGAAGCGATTCGTCGAGATTTTGAAAGACTAATTCCATAGATATTTGTCAACAGAAGCGCGGCATAGCGACGACTCGAGGGCACAAGACTGAAACTGCTTATCCTGTTCCTGATCTAATTAGCCGCTCCCATGATTTGAATTCGTAAAGAGACACATTGTTCAATTTGTATTAGAATTCTTAGTAAGTTTCTAACCATGCTACTGGTACCCAGTTAACTTTTAGCCTTTACCAAAAATTAATCAAAGTACCTACAAAATTTGTTTTATTCATAAACTAAATCATTTTCAAATACGGGTATTCTTTTAAAAACTAGTATACTAGGACTACGATAGTACTCTTTTAAAAACTGGACGGTAGAGTATCTATTCTGTAATAAACCAAAATATCAGTACATTCAAATATAACGTTTGAATTAAAAATTATGATCTTACCCGGCGTATCTCCGAATAAATTTCTACCTCCTGATCCTTTACTACGTTTCTCCCTGCTATCGTGTTTTAACATAATACAATATCAAGCTAATATTTTTCCTAACGAGGGATTAAATTGGAAGGAAAATAATGCTAAAATAAGTTGGATACCTTTCCTCGGCTTTATCGTGAATAAAAGGACATTTGTGCAAAAGTGTTTAGCTTTATTAACTACCTTGTCTGATGTCAGTCCTCAGGGATTAAATATACGAGCTTTAAATAAATATACTACAAAATATGGATAGACCTACTGTTATATTATATATTTATGCACAAAGTGCCAGCTGATAAACTTGGTATATGAAAGTGTTTACACATTCATTTCATTATTTATACATGTTCGTAAAATAAGACTTAGGATTTAAATTATTGAATGAAATACTAAATTTTAATAATGTTTCTAATAATGTGTTATTTTTAATTATGTGTTAATATGAACACATAATTTTATAATTAACAGTAGATACATTATTTAAGATTTAAGCACGCTGTAACTAATAAATACGAGATTGAACAGATCATTACTACAGGTGAACCTGTTAATATAGGTTCACTGTTGAACACACCTATTGGTTGGTATTGTTGTGAACGTGTTAATTCAATCAGTTGTTGTAAAACCGACACTGAGTATAATATTATATCAAAACATTTGCGCCAGTTAACATGTTAATGATTATTTTGTGATAATAATTTTATTGTTAAATAATCTAAAAAATTAATAATAAGCGAAAACATTATATCTTATGGGCACTATTTTTGTAAAAAATACAGTAGTAGTTAAATGAATTGAAGAGAAACGGCGAATAGAGTGTAGCATAAACGAAAAGCCTACAATAAAATTTACATTATTTTTTATGTCTATTTTCAACGGTAATTTTTTTAATAAAAATAATCATCTAATAATTCATTTCATTGAAAATTGCAAAACTTTTCTTACCTTTATTAGAAATTCATAATTTAAGTCAATTAAACCATAGCAATCTATTTTCAGGGGAAATCGAGTAGCCATCAACAATATACTTAAAGCATCTTTATTTTTTTTTGTTCCAGTAATTCCATTGACAAGAAAGTAATTTTTCATGAAGTTCAACAGCCTAAAAATATTTCAGTACATACAAGGGTAGGGTGTTAAAACCCATATAATAGACCATATTTTATAACCCTTAGGCAAAAACAACCAAATTCAATTTACCGTATTCATGAGACGTTGGCCGAAATAACAACAAATTAAACATTGACTTAAACATAATAATATCACAATGTACATCTCAACATTAACTGGTGGTAATATCCTACAAGAGAAATAGGCATAACAATGGAGCCAATACAGAATTTATAGAACCAACATTACTGAATCTTTTGATAAATTTATGCTGTGTCAAAGACCAAACAAACTCTGGAGGATCGTCTAAAATACATATCAAAATGTTATAAAACATATTGGCTATTTTTTGTAGTTACCTTTACAAGGTTCCAATTTAAATTTGCTTTCAGACATAGTTAAGTTTCTCCAGTTACTCATTCCGCTAACACATTAACTGTAGATACATAGATACATGTAAGTTTTAGCAGGCAGGTTTTATAGGTAAACATACCTTAAATAATTAATTAAATCGTTTATTCATTAGATACTAGTCGTTACATCCGATATTTTCAAACCAGTAACATTAAACTGAAAAATTATTTAATGAACGTAACGTTCTAATGACCTACCAACTATCATATTCTACATTCATAAAAATTTTATTCGAATAATGAAAAAAATAGTTTAAAATCCTAGTAAACTTCTAAGCTTCTAAGTAACATAGATATTAAAAGATTTCTTTATTAATTGTCATTAATAGACGTAATAAATTTACCATGCCTACTTAAAAGATTGTATTAATTTTTAGCGTGCCTTAAAACTTTTTAATAAATATTCAAGATGCAGCAGTAGTTACATGAACTGTCGGGATGCAGTATAGAGAGTGTAGCATAAACGAAAAGCCTAAAATAAAATATTACATTATTCTATTACCTATGCCATCTTGTATTCAATATTTCGTCAAATTTATAATAATTATTGTTAATTGCTAATTTTCCATACCTTCACTAAGTATACATAATTTAAATCTATTAAACCATAACAATCAATTTTAAGAGGGTCTCGAGTGGCTATCAATATTATATTTAAGGCATCTTTATTTTTTTTGTTCCAATAATTCCATTGACAAGTGAGTAATGTCTCATGAAGATCAATAGTCTACAAAATTTATTTCATTATTAGGTAACCAGTATTATCCACTAAATCCACTCTATCAATGCACTTGTTTGAGTTAAAATGCAGGTAATCGTAACTATATGTACGTAAATATCAACTTTAATTTACCGTATTCATGAGACGTTGTCCGAAATAACATGCACTTATACATTGACTTACAGCAAAAAACATCATCAAATACATTCCAATATTAATTGACGGATTTACACCCTAAAATACAGAGAGTCATAACATTTTGTGCATTTAATAATATTTGCCTATAAAAGAAAACACAAAACCGGTAGGTACTAACATTGCATTTTAGAAAATAAAGTGAACAAGTACCTATTCTTACTACATACGAGTATATTCTTTTACTTTCCCATACAGTACACAAATACTAGGTATCTTATAAGTACTTACAGCAATAACATAGTATAAAGCTATTACAAAACCCGATGAACCCGTGATCATTTGAACGAGTAAAGAAGCATGAGCTACTTTAGAATGTATGTTTTTATGCAGACTGAAAATTAAATAAAATTTTGTTAAAACTTGACGTAATGAGAAACTAATCTACTCCTAATCTACTCACTATTGTAACCCGACGAATAGTTTCATGGACATTTTTAAATGATTGTAGACCGCATTTTGGTAAGTCTTATTTTCCATGCAAGTTGCTTCTTCGACTGTCAAGTATTTCAAATCATGAATGTGGTTTATTATAAGTTCCAATTGAAAAGTAGACTGTGCCGAAAAATAATTAAAAGTCACAATTGGTAAGGAAACTTCTAGTGTTTGCCAAAATAATTGTGGCAATAACAGGAGAACTAGTTGAGAATTGCTGATCCATTTCGTTAAATACTTATAACCATAGTAAAAACAATCATCGGAACACGTACCGAAGAAGTATAAAAAGGCAAGATGAATTGAAAATGATATAAATAATAAAAATATATTAATTATAATAAACATGGTTGTATCATTTTTTACTTTCTTTTCGTTTCTGTTGAGAGCATGAATATGTTTAGAGGCTCGTTTTTTAAATAGATACATGTACTTGTTCAATCTTTGGTTAAACAGCTGGTTGAATGCTACCTAAAATCAATAAATGTTACTTAGTCTTTTTAAAAAAATTATTATTTTAAAGACATTAAAAACCATGTAATTTTATTATGAACACTAATAACTTTTTACCCAAATCGATACGAATTTAACGAAGACATTAAAAATAAATTCATATGCAAACCTGTGTATTCACATATCTAGGATTTAAATATCAACTTACATTTTCTAACAAAATCATGAACAACATATATTTTTTAATGTACTCTGTTTTTCCCGCGAAAATAATAGGGTACATAATCCAGAGGATCGAACATTGAGTAATAGCAAATGATAATATCCGTAACGTGTGTACAACATTACTGAACCTTTTGACACATTTGTACAGGGTTAAAGATGCAATCAACTCTAGAGGATCATCTAAAAATTATATTTACATGTCTTCAATAGTATAGATACTGTATACTAAATCATTGTAGTTACCTTTGAAAGGTTCCAAATTAAATTTAATCTCAGACATAGTTATGGTACTTCAGTTACTGCTTGTTCTACGACAGTAAATACATACAGTGTACAAACAAGTGTAGATACATATAAGTGTTTCGGATGTTGTAAAGACATTTTATAAAAAAAACTTACCATTAATTATTAAATAAATCGATAAGTCATTACCAGTTCTTGCATCTTATATTTTCAGAACTGTATAACATTCTATTAAAAAGCAATCTAATGAAAACAACGTTTTAAAGAAAAAGCTTTGTTAATTATCATATTCCATATTCATAAAAGTTTTATATAAATGATGAGAAAGCAGGAAAAAAACTGAAAGTTCATATCATATTAAATTTCTGAGTAGAAATAATGTAGATATTATAAGTCATTTCTGCTCTTGTAATTATTAAAATG